GTAAAAAATTATTTGGCATTTAAATGTTATTTTAGTACAAACTGGTTGATTTTAAACAAATATTAACAATTTGATCATCAATAACATTTCATAAGCTTTTTGGCAAAAGCAAGACACTAAAAGCTATACATTACATAAGCTGATTTCATAAAATAATATTTTGTATTATAAAAACTATACTCTCTAACTGCAAGCAATACATCATGGACTAAATTTTTAGTCTTTCAAAATGCTCTGAAGTTACCTTTGGACTTAAAAGTTGTATATGCTTTTAATAGTGAAATGTTACATTTACATTAATTTCAACAAACTAATTTGTATTCAAATGCAGATCTAATTAGCAAAGAGATCATCAGTAAAAAGTAAAGCTTAAACTTTATTACTGATTAATATTAATTTAATTTAAAAAGCCAATAAATGAAGACAATCAAATCAATAACATAATGGATACGGTAACATGGTTACAACTGCATAAAACCCGATTGCATGTCTCAGAAAGGAGGATACAAGATTCTGTAATAGCTGTTTTTAAAAAGTATTTATTACACAAACATATCGATAAAGTAGTAGAAATAAGGCAATAACCATCAGACATGAATGATGAGATCTGCCAACAAGACAACACCGGCTTTTATTTGAAAAAGTCTGGTGCTGGTCTCCAACTTCACATCACACCAGTTACTGAACCTAGTTGTTTGAACACAAAGTTTGTAAATACAACCATGTGATTAAAAATTTTCATATGGAGATGTTTAAGCAATCACGTATTTTAAAAAAGTGAAGGATTGTTGCTGGCCTTAATGAAAAGACCTGGTGAAAGAACATTAACCAAACAAATGGGTCCAATTTCTACCAGATATGCACAAATCAAATGCCATGTTTGACAAAGTAGCTGTATGATTTGTACTGTTTCAGATCTTCATTTCTGATACTGAATGCTGCATTTTTAAAATTAATCCGTTACAGCAAATTAAACTCTGACAGTGCAATTTAACAAATAACACACGTGACCAGAATCTTTTTCAAATACAGAAATGACTGATTTTTTGCATGCTATTCTCTAATACACAGATTTTTATACTTGAAGATGAATTGTATGAAATGCATTGTTTAAAAATAAACACAATAAAAGACCCCATATAGTCTTGTAGTACATTCTGACCATTTTGCATTCTATATACAAATCTGGGTGCTATGTCTACAGTAGGTGTATTTTAATTTTGCCTAAGTTTTAAATATGATGCCTATGTAACAATAGTTTAAATATTTAAATATGTTAAATTTGAATTCCATACTATTTTCTTTAAAGTACAGGAAACATGGTACCTTTAACTGAATGGCACAAAGGAGACATGTCTTGAGTCCACTCTAGAAACTTGAAATTTAACAACATATATGAAATGGTTAACAGTAGGTTTTTGAAACATTAGTGCTTAAAAAAATTAATATTCAGCAGGCTTTCATGTACTGTATTCCCAGGAAGCTTCTTTTTGGTGTCTACCTGTTGTTTACTACAGTAACTACCATTTTAGGTCTCTGCTAATATAACTTATTCAGTACTATAATGGGACAATTTTCACACCTACCTTTAAGAATTTACTTAGAATAACCTCAAAATATAATATTCTTAACTTCTCTTCCAATGGAGAAACTTGTATATACATCATTGTACCACACAGCTCTGTTCCTCGACTCACTGCTGTATTTCCAAAATTTATTCTACCATTTCAACTCAGTTTATTTTTTAATAGCACAGCAAATGCACAGTAACTTCCTAAAGCAGATATTAATGAATAGTTTACAAGATTGAAACAATTAAAGATTCCCAAAATTCAATTTTCAGTGTATGGGCAGTATTTACAGAAAATGTACCTGAAAATTCTTTCTTGACCAAAAGGCATCTTTCTGAACTGTTTTGCTGTGATAATGACATACAATATTGTAATAGGTAAAATTTTAAAGAAGGACAGCTCTTGTAATTCCTTTCAATTAAGATAATTGTTGCCTCCTGGTGTCAAGTGTGCAAATAATACAAGCACACATGTGTATGTTCTTTAACAGGGTCACACAGATGAAGTCAACTCAGGTTTTTGCATATCCATCTACATCATATTAAGGATTTGATCATTTTGAGAGAAAATTCTACTGTACAAGATTGCAACTGACACTGTGACTTCAAATCAACAGCAAATCTTTCTCCAAGGGAACCTACAACACTTGACTATTACAGACATAATCCTCCTTAGAATACTCCTCAACAGAGCTAAGTAGATTTCCTTCATTGAGTGGGGTGCTACTCTAGTTACAGCCAAACATTTAAAAAAGTCTCAATAAAACCAGCAGCCATCTAACCAGTTTTCCAAAACGTAATATGGGCTGTTGCTCCAGGTAATCTCATCCTTAAGATATCAGGAGGCTTTCAGCTCATGATGAATTTCAGGTTATGGAATCTTGAACATTTAAAAGAAACAGCGACATCATATTGACCCTATTTGAATGGAACGATTTTATGGCTCCTTCAAAAAAAACCGTAACCAGTGGTAAAATACTTTGAACTCAAGTGTTATGTGATTCATTTAAAATACATGGGTTGATGCCTCACTGACATACATACATCTAACATAATAAATGCCTCAAGGTACTTAATATACAAGCTTCTACAAATAAAGCTTTTTACGTATTTTCCTGCAAGATCTTGCAATGTGTATTATCACAAGTAATCAGTTACAACTTTAAAAACAAAGCTAAAAAGTAAGAGGTTCTGAAAAGGAATCAGGGAAAATTAACTGTAGGCTGGCCCAAAGTAGAAACAACATCAGTATCAACAGATGAACTAATTATCTCTGTTTCAAACTCCTAGGAGCCTGCAAAAAGGCCGTAAACGATCTAGGTGCATAATGCAGTAATTGGAAGACTCATTTGGAGCAAACAGTGTGTTAGAATCCGGAATTCACTGCTGGAAATTATGGTGGAGGCAGATACATTTGTGGCTTTTAAGAGAAACCATTTGCAGGGCTCATCTCCACTGCCCATCTCTAATTGCCCTTGAGACTGTAATGGAGACCGACCTCTTGAACTGCTACAGTCCATGCCAAACAAAGACATGAAAATCATGAAAAAGTACACATGAAAAAACCTCATAAGAAAGGTTGGCTTATACCCCAATCATATGCAAAAATGTGTCAGTGACAGGGCCAATGCCAATAAAAGATGGAAATAGAACATGCAAATAGAAACATAAATACATCAAAATCCTATAACAAGAATTCATAGATGCTCTCTGTCAGAAGAAAGAATTAAGTCACCTAAACAGATATAGTACATCCAGATATACGAAATCTGAAATCGTGGAATACTCTTGCACATGTAGGACTGAAGGTTCACACTGAACTGAAGATAAGCCACAGACATCTCGTTTCATCTTTGCTGCTGAGAAGGAAAATTAGATTATCTGTGAAGGTATTGCTTCCACTGGCATGACCTTTGTCACAGAAAAAAAAACAAACATTCTTCTAACGAGATTTGTTATAATAGGTAAAATTAAAAAGCTTAGGGATGCTCACCTTTGTTGTATAAAAACTTCTGATTTCTAAAAATTGAAAGGGAACGGATAAACAAAGAATTATGCAGACAATTATTTGATGCATGGAATTTCTGGGATTTTCCATTTGATTCTGAATCTAAAAAATTTAATTTAGCATTGTGCGTAATAACTGGAATTTAGTAGATGGCTGAATAGATCACGCAAGATATGTGTCCTTCAACAGGAGGGTGACGTAAACATGAATCCTTAACTCAAGTTTAATGCTGAAATGTGACAGGACTTGCAAATGTTGGTCTTAAAAGAAAGCATACTTGATCAAAAATCTTTAGTTCCAAATACTTGATTATTTGTATATTCACTAAGCATTACATAGGCCAATTCTCCACTGGAAATACATAATTTGGCTTAACAATTCTCCCTCAATAACAGTACTCAAATTAGTGAAGTCAATAACTTATTCTCTCCCATTTCTTAACAAGCACCACCATTATACAAGGAATGATTCCTTTAGGAGAATTGCAAGAGAGGAAAGGCACATTACTCACTGAGGTGGGCATCTCTTTAAAACTTACAGAATACGGAGCGGCCTGGATACAGTGGACATGAAGATGATGTTTCCACTAATGGGAGAGATCAGGACCTGAGGGCAGCGTCTCAGAATGAAGGGACGACCCTTTAGAACTGAGGAGAATTTCTTTAGTCAGGAGGGTGGTGAATTTAGATCACAGAACCCCCTAACAGTGTGGAAGCAGGCCGTTCGGCCCATCGAGTCCACATCAACCCTCCTAAGAGCATCCCACTCAGACCCAGACCCAACCCCTACCCTATCTCCCATACCTCTCATTTCCTCATTGCTAATCCACACAGCCTGCACATCCCTGGAGACTATGGGCAATTTAGCATGATTGATTCACCTTACCTGCACATCTCTGGACTGTGGCAGGAGACTGGAGCACCTGGAGGAAACGCACGTAGACATGGGGAGAAATGTGCAACCTCCACACAGACAGTTGCCCGAGGCTGGAATTGACCTCCGGTCCCTGGCGCTGTGAGGCAGCAGTGCTTACTGCTGAACCATGTGCTGCCCCAAATTTGTGGAGTTCATTACTGCAGAAGGCTATGGAACCCAAATTATTGAGTGTCTTTAAGACAGAAATAGATAGGTTCTTGATCAATAAGGGGATCAAGACTTACGGGAGAAAGCAGGAGATTGGGTTGAGAAACACATTAGCCATGATCAAATGGACCCAAGCAGCAGAATGGTGTAAATCTACTCCCATATCTTATGGTCTTCTGGAGTAAATAACCCTAAATTTTTCCATCTTTCCCTCAATGTGGACATAATCTTTGCAGCCAGTGTTGAGGATAGGAACTAAAGGAATTAGTTGTGTATTCTACTATTACATAAAGCATTCTCTTGATATGCTTGAATGAAACACATGGTCTCAACTCTTGCTGAAAGACTGCAGACAAGATACACAGGAACAGTTTCAGGGATGAAGGACTTTAGTTATGTAGATTGATTGTATCTGTTTCCCTTGAGAAATTCAGGAGTTAATATTTTAAGTTAATGACTTTATTCAGAACTGGGAGAAGAGATATGGTAGTTTTAAGCAAGTGGAAATTGGGGAGGGGAGAGGTAAGATGACAGGAGAGAAGCAGGAGTGATTAAATAATAAAGAGGCTCAGTGAGCAAAGTCAAAAATCAATACTGGGGAAAGCAGGATCTGTAATACTGTGATGGACTTCACTGGAGCCATGCTGGGGCTCATGTACTTGTCAGTCACTTAACTAGGGAAGTGCAGAGGATTTTAAATTAAATAGTGAGGGCAAGGGATCAAATGTGGGAAAATGTGTTAGATCAAAGAGTAAAGTTAATGACAGAAGGGAAAGGTATTAATGTTGGAAATGATAAACAGACTGTGACAGGAAGGGATAAAGGGTACAGGTCTTAAAGGAAAATCAACAGATAACAGTACAGGATATTAAAAAGAATAAAAGGGTTAAACTAAAGACATGGTACTTGAACACAGAAATTATTTGAAACAAAACAGACAAACTGAGTGCAAATAGAAATTTTAAGAAATATGGTCCGGTAACCATTTGAAAGACATGGCTGCAGGATGGTTATGGATTGGTACTTGAATTAAAAGGGTACAGGATAATTAGGAAGACAGAAAAAGGTAAAGGGTGGCTCCATTAGTTTATGATGATATTAACACAATAGAGAGGGATGACCCAAATTCAGGAAACCAGGTTGTGGAAATAGTTTGGGTGAAGGTGAGCATTAAGGCAAGAAGTCACTTGTGAGAGTGGTAAACAGATCTCTCAACAGTAACCACAGGCTAGGTGGAGCATAAAGGAAGAAATAATGAGAGCTCGCCAGAAAGGCACAGTGATAATCATGGGAGATATTAATCTGTATTTAGACCAGAAAAGTCAGATGGGAAAAGGTAGCCTACATGAGGAAGGCACAGAATATTTTTATGAAATGTTTTATGAAATATTCTTAACATGTCCTGGAATAGAAAGAAGGCTGTAATAGACCTGGCATTGTGCAACGAGACAGGATTGATGAATGTTCTCATTATGAAGTTGCCACTAAGTTATCAGTGGCCATAAGATGATCAAATTTTATATTCAATTTGAGGGAGGGAGGATGGGATTTAGGACAATTTTCCAAAACTTAAATAAGGGCAATTATGAGGGCAAGAAAGCAGAGCTAGCTAACGTGAACTGTCAAGTTAGTTGAAATGGATAGGTCAATAAAGATGCAGTGGTAGATATCTGAAGGGATATTTCAGAATACAGATTTGACACATTCCAAGCAAGAAAATTCGAAGGAGCAAAATCACCATCTGTGGTTAACTAGAAAGGTTATAATATCCAACTGAAAGAAAAATATGCAACGGTACAAAGACAGGTAGCATGCTAGAAGATCGGACAGAATACTTAAAATAGCGAGGACTACAAAAGAAAGCTAATAGAAAGCTAAAAGAAATCTAGAAAAACCCCAAGAGTTAACAAAGAGAACATTGTCATCTTGAGGAGTTTGGAGAACTGATCATGAAAAATAAAAAAAAAACAGATAAAATCACAGGTATTTTTCACAATCTTCACTAGGGTAGATACAAGTAACACCTCAGAAATAGCAATAAATTAGGAAATGGGAGGGGTGGGGAATTCTGGAAAATTACAATTTTCAAAGAAATGGTATTGCGTAAATTGATGAGCATCTGTATAAGTCCTTACGGGTTTCATCTTAAGGTCTTAAAAGAAATGGCTAACGAGGTCATTGATGCCTTAGTTTTCAAAACTCCACTCAGGGAAAGTCCGATTAGATTGGAAAACTTCAAATGTAACTCTTTTATTCAAAAAGGGAGGAAGACAGAAAGTAGGAAGCTACAGCGGGTTCGTAAAACATCCACCATGCAGTAATTGTGAGAAACAATTACTTGTGAATTATGGTATGGCATTTACAGAAGTTCAAAGTAATCAGACAGAGTCGACAAGGTTTTGCAAAAGGGAAATAGTGTTTAATGAAATCCATTTGAGTTCTTTGAAGAAGTACATTGCTGTGGATAAAGGGGAACCGGTTGATGCACAGCAATTAAATTTCAGAAGGCACTTAACTCGATAAAGTGCCAAAGGTGAACCAAGATATATATACTGAAATTAATAGCCATCTGGATTATCGGGGTGACACATGGCTGTAGGCATCAAAAGGGATTGGGACATGCTTAACTAACTCAAAGCCGAGACCTGCTTAAAATTACAAAGGATGATTGGGCATTTAACCCTGTCGAGAAAGGACTTGCACAAGAGTGGAAATCTGTTAAAACAATGAAAGGATCACTAATATAGAATATTTACTCATACAATGCTCTAAAGAATTAATCACTAAATAGTGAGCGTTTCAAAACATTTCTCCACTTTAAGATACATAACTATGATAATGTATATAAAAGTAGAAACTTGCTAATTGCTGTAAAGGGGAACCTATTTGCATTCTTGAGGACATGAGCACAGCTGACAATTCTGACCCGTAGCTACCTCAGTCTCAATTGTCATTTTAACATTCTTAACAAAAAGACATTATAGAAAATAAAAGCTCAGTGTGGGGAGTAAAATATTTACAAGGAATAAAGATTGGTTGGCCATCTGGAAGAACAGCGTAGGCATAAATGAGTCTTTCTTTGGGTTAGCATGATCTAATGAGTGGTGTGACACAGATCTGTGCTGGGACCTCAACCATTTATAACTTTATAAAAACTACTTAGATGAAATGACAGCAAAAGCGCATTATCTAAATGGTGGAAGACTGTAGAGCTTAAGATACAGATGGTTCTGGACGTTCTCAGGCATTGCAAAGACTACTATGTAGGAAAGTTAGAATATTATTGTTTATTGTGAGGGGAATGGAATACAAAAGTGGGGAGTATGCTTCAAGTATACAGGGCATTGGTGAGATCGCACTTTGAGTACTCTACAGTATTATTAGTTTGCTTTTGGAAGGATGTAAATGTATGGGTAGTAGTTCAGAGAATGTTTATTAGGCTAATATCTAAACTGGGCAGTCTGCTTTATCAAGGAAAGGTTATACAGGTTTGACATATACCCTAACACTTGAAAAGGAAGAGATCAAGTTTTTGTTAAGGCAACAAGAATGACATGGAATTGTGAAACAGCAAAACTTTGAGACAGCCTTAGGCAATTCTGATGGAGAGGTCAAGAAGGTGCATGTGGCAATGTATGGCACTGAGCATGGATCCCAGGATCAATGTTCTCTATTAATCTTTCTTGTTGCCCATGCACAGCAGTGGCTACTGGAAGTAGAAGCAATGCATTGGTGCTATGTACACCGACCTTCCCAGTGGCTGTATGGCTGTGCAGCTCAGATGGAACACTGCTTAGGAATGCAGTGGGAACAGTTATCCAACGAGCACTGTATGTTGAGGAGATACTTGTATTGCTGGATAAGGATTTAAAACACGAAGGATGAAACTTCAGTTGGAATCCACGTGGGTTAAGTTGGAGCTGGAGACAGTCACCGAGGCAGTAGATATGGCTGTTCAACTGAGTTTTGGCAAATACAGGAAAATAGAAAGCAACGAATGTGAACAAAGCTGTAAGATTCAAACAGAAATCCCATCAGAGGGAAAAGTGGAACTTCAAGGTAGACATACCTGAAAGAGAAGTGGCAGTGAATTAGACATGCAAGTTGAAGTAAGAAACTGAAGATGCTGGAGACCTGAAATAAAAACAGACAGTGGTGAAGAAACACAATAGGTCTCAGAATTTAAAAACAAAGATCAGACAAAATTTTCACTGAGGTTCGTGAGTCTTTGGAACTCTCTTCCACAAAAGGCAGTGGAAGCACAGTCTTTAAATATTTTTAACGGCATCATTGAATAGATTCCTAGTAAGGTGATGGGGCTAAAGATTGTCAAGGGTGGTTTGAACATAGATTTGTTGTTACAATTGGATCATCAATAATCTTACTGGATGGCAAAGCAGGTTCGAAGGGCTGAGGGGCCTATTCCTGCTCCTTGTTCATATGTTCATAGGTATGTACAGCACAATTATTAAAAATTGCTGTTACAAATCAAGAGAGGAGAAAAATGTAGAGAGAAAAGAAAAATCAAAACCAGCTGACAAAAAGAAAACAAGAGTCAGGGCAGATATGATGAGCTTGAGCTGTTTAACTTGATTCTTAATTTGGGAGACTGTAATGTTGCAAATCAAAAAATGAGGTGCTTGTCCTCAAGCTTGCATTAACTTTCAACAGTACACTGTGGAGGCCAAAGACAAAGACAGAGAGCTCAGAATAGGAGCAAGTTCGATAATTAAAGGACAGTCAACTCGAAGTTTTGAGGTCACACTTGTGGACTAAGAGAGGTTGTTCACAAAGTAATTACCAATCTGCTTTTTGACTCCCCTGTGTAAAGGAGGCTGCATTGAGAGCAATGATTATAGTACAATAGATTAAAAGTGATTTGGTTGTATTTTCAATCTGGAAGAAGTGCTCAGGGCCTTGGATGCTGAGAAAAAGTGGTGTAAAAGGTCAGGTGCTGTTAATCCAGAGTTTACATGGAAAATACTGTGGGAAAAGGAGGGAATATTATAGGTGATTGAGGAGTGGATCAAGGTGATAAAAGGGAATGGTTCCTTCAGAATGTTGGAAAATGAAGCAAAAGGAAAAGGTGTTTGACAGTAGCACCATCGTGGTCATGGCAAAAATGGCAGAGAATGATCCATTGAATACAGAGGCTGTTGTGGGTAGAAGACGACAACAAGGCCAAGCCTATCATAGTAATGGCAGATGGTGGAATGGGACAGAAGAACTGCATGAAATGAAACAGACACAGTTGAGCATCATAGCAGTGTGTGAGATCTTGTGTTGAGGCAGAAGAAAGGCATATTAGCTAGTATGGAAGGTTGCATTGTCAGAACAGATACAATAAAGATGGAGAAAGTAGGAGAATGGAAGAAAGTAGAGAATGGAACAGAGTTCAGACAAGAAGCATAATGTGAGAAAATGCAGCTGAAGTAGCTGTGGTTGTCATTGCGATAAAGAGAATACTGGATATACTCAGAAATGAAAGCCTGTGAGGCTGGGGATATTTTTATGGATAAGCTTTAGAAACTGGAAACCATTGTTGATGACCATATTGGCAAGAAAAAAATGACAGTTCCGAATAGAAAGTGCACAGTGAGAATAAATGGAAGTAGCATCACAACAATGACTGAAAATCTGATGATTCCTGAAGAAGGAAAAAATTGGATTTTCAGTTGTTGAAGCTTGCATAAGGTCCAGCTAAATGCTTATTGGAATTTCTGGCTTTTGCAACATCTTCTGGAGGGCTAAGGGCTCTAGAACTATAGTTGTTAAACATTGTATTAATAAGTACAAGAAAAATATGTTTTAATTCAGCAACTGGTAAATTCTCCTACTATATTCACTAATAGAGGAAATTAAATATTATGGGTAAAAGCTATGATTTTGACATAGACATCTTATCTCATCGGCAATGAAGCTAGGGATTTTTCTTAATATTAAATAGCAGTTTAGGGCTGAACTGAAAAAGACCCAGTTGTGTGAGCCACAATTCTGATAAACCAATACCTCAAGCACATGTAGGGCCTCTCAGCACTAATGCCAGACCAACCAGATCAACTCAAGTCAGAATGGAAGATGCCGACCAAAGTGTTCAGCTAACACAGCATTCATCCATTACAATAAAAAGTGGCTCCACGCATGTCAAGATCTGGAACAACAATTTACTTTTAATCAGAGGGCCTTTATTAAAAGGAAGATTATTTAATACTCATGATGTATGATATTCATTTCATATTATATCTTTGCAAACCACTATAGAAATAGGTTGTTCCATTTTAAAGAACAAAATACATTCTCACAGCAAAGAAAACACTAGCTGGTCAGACATGTTCTTCCTGGTTTCTGAACAGCACCGTAGCAAGAAAAATATCCATTGGTCAAGAAAATGACAGCTATTTGGAATGCTTACTCTGGATCTTGAACACATAAGTACTTACTAATTTTAACACGATAGAGGTGGAGTAGAAAGCATTTAAACTGCTCAAGTTACTGTGTTGATTTTCTTTTCCAATTTTCATCATTAACTACGCTTTATTTTTAGAATGTATAGACATACAGACAGGTGGAATCTGCTCAAGTATGAAAATCATATTACCCAAAGACTTTGCAAGCAGTGGGAGAAGGTTTCAGATTTGAATATATCATTTCCCCTAAAAGTAAATAGTTCGTCTCTCTGATTAATTTGCTGAGAACTCTTAATTAACAGAACTTGTTTGAAACTTTGAAACTGCACCATATATTTAACCTGAAAGTAGAAGTACTCCAGAGATGAGGGATTGGGCTGCCTTCTAAAAGTTGTAGTTCTTGGAACAAAGGAGCTGGAGGGGAGATTCAATAATGATGGGCAAAATGACAACAGATTTGGATAAGGTAGGAAAAGTAGTTTCCAGTAGCTGCTTGTACAATAATGAGGCATGACATATTAAGGATTTGGACAAAAGCTTGGTGGGAGGGAGTGCTAATGACCTGGAGCTCACTGTCTATGAACATGGCAGAAGGTGACTTGATCAATAATCTTAAAAATAAGTTAGATACACACCTGAGGAAAACAAACATGCAGGGCACCAAGAAGATAGCACGGGAATGGAACTGACCAGATGGCTCTATAGGGAACCTGCATGATCTCAAAAGGCCAAACGGCCGCATTCTTTGATGTAATATCTACTGGGTTCAACTCTAAGGGAAAAGTGGCAGATCTCTCATTTTGTAAACGTGCTTAAACAAGACAATTAATTTCAGTTCAACATGTTGCCATTTTAGTTTAATTCATATATACAGATGAACAAGAACCTTGGTTGTTTTAAAGATTGGCTGCACAGGATTAATAACAATTTACTAAAGTAAGTGGTACTCATTTGAACAAATCCATTTTAAATATAAACTTCCTATTTATAGAGTTCTAATGTGACTACACAGTGTCCTCGTATTAAAAACAAAGTTTTACATATCTTCCAGCTTGAAACATTGTCAAATAGTATAGTATTTGTGCCTTTCTTTGCTTTTAAAAAGTTCGACACAATCTGCGCAACAGCAAAAGGTCATGGAACAACTTGGAAAAAGGATTTTGTTGTACAACTTTCATCTGAGGAATACATTAAATGGCAGACTGTATATTTTTATGTTGGATAGATCCATATTTTAAGTAAACCATTCAAAATTACTCTCAGAATCTATTGGACACCATTTAGACTTTGAACACCTGGTTCAATGACCTGATACTTTCATCATGAACACAATTAGTCCATGGGTACTTTCCTGTATTTGGTAGGATATCCGAGGTTCAAAATGTTTTAGAAAGTATGCTTGAATACAGACATTGTCAAATAGAGACTTCTATCTGCAATGACATATCTGCTGACCTATCTCCTGCTGGGTAATATTGAAGGAATCCTTTCTCATATTAACATTAACTTGTACAAACCTTAGCGAGAGCAGTAATGCAGCACTGTAAGAAGGACCAAGCCTCACTGAAAGGATGAAAAACTTTGGAATAACACTGACTTCTAAAGAGTTCTCAAGTAGCTCCTGGGGGCAGAGAACCATCTTGTAAATTGTGGAATGCAACTGTACCTTTTTTGTTTCATACTGAATTTTGTAGGGAAATACCAAAAAATACTTGATATACGGTGGTCCTTCTGTTAGTTTCTATTGGTTTTGGTACTACCTTCTACCTAGGTTCAAGTGTAGGATACATTGCACAAAAATGAGTCTGGGAAAGGAGATGCTTATAAAGTGTTTTGTTTTTGGTCATTTGTTGTGTTTCATGTTTAAGGTCTTAAGTCACTTTTATTACAGTACTGTCATGCTATGTATTTTTGGATTGTTGTATGTTAATATTTGGTTTTTAGTATATGGCTTTGTTAGTTGAAGAGAAGACCAGTTAAAATCAAACAAGTGTTCAGTATTTTCAATGTCCCTCATAGGTTTCAAAAGAAGCTACTTTGGTGCAATCTTTTTCTTCAATACATTCAGCAGATATCTGAAAGTCAGATTTTCATCTAGATAAATATTTAAAATTCATTTCTCAAGTTCAACTAATTTGGACATCAAATTTCATTGCCTGGGAACTTCCTACTCAGAGAACGTGACTTTTTAATTGAATAAACGACTGTCAGATAACCATTTCTGAAACAACAGATGTATCTCAAATGTAGAAGATAATAGCTCCATCGATTTTGGCAAGTAATATACAACAGCACCATCTGCTCACATTGTAATTTTGGACAATTGCCTATATTAAAGATGACCATCAAAACAAACCAGGAGAACACAGGTTGAGTGTAGAACCATGGAGGACTCAAACTTTGGCTGGAAATCAATGTTTTCATTTCTCTTTAACCATTCTATTTTTAACAATTAAGAACTATTTTCTTTTTTGTGCATTTGGTACACACAAATTATGGTATAGCCAGAGACAACAGTAACAAAGACAGAGATCACACAGATTTGACCCTGGTGTTTGCTGGAAGCACAAAATGGACAAACCACAGCTTTCCTGTAGCTTAATGCATGCTCCAATCTTGGCAGAATGGCTTCAATTAAAATGTAGGATTAACCAATTTGTTGCAAACTGTGCAACCAATACAACTTAAATCTTTAGTTCAGGAACACATATTCTATGATCAGTATGCTTTAACTATTTATTTAGATTAATAGTAACATGGCCAAAAAAGCAGTTGCAGCTCTTCTCTAATTACCTCAGCACAGACAAGGGATCAAATCTGGGCCATTCCTGGTCTGCATGGTCCAGCCACTCACTGAATAAACTCAGCAAGTCATCAGGGCCGCTCATCCAGAACATTTTAACAAATGAAGTGGCCCAACCACAGAAATAAGACAAAAATTATCACAGTAAGAAAAAGTTATATGTACTAAAACTGACTTCACCACCTGGGTTTAGTTCTGCTTGAGAGCACCAATAGGTCAGACAGAGAGGCAGCTACTGCAAGTTTGATCTCAAAAACATTAGTTTGTTTACAACCTCAGGTGTCAGCTGCCCTTTTTGCTTTCCTGAAAATGTCTCACCAAAATTATGCATACAGTCACTTCTTGCACCAACAGCTGGCACAGCCAAAAGCCAAAAGGCAAGTTTGGCTAACTTAGGATGCTTTTGAGTGGCATTTGACCAGTAATTGAACAGATCTACAGTTTTATTGGGCACAGGTTCCTTTAAATATTGAAATACTTCATCTTTTCGCTCATCTTGGCTCACCTCTTTCTTTGGTGGTGTTTTCAGGTTTTCATTAATTCCACACACTTTCTTTCTTGCAGGCTGGAATTCAATGGTATCTTCACATGACTGTCCAATATCTGAAATCATCTCACAAACTCGATTGATTACTTCCTCTTGTTGGTAGTGTGGCACTGACCTCAAATGCTTCAGATGTGGATCCAGGACCATTGCAACTTTATGAGCAGTCTCCACTTTAAAGTTCTCCTTTAAAGACTCCAGAAAAAGATGGCACAGTTTACTTACAGTGCCAGCGTCATTAGCTTTGGAAGTGAAAAGTTTCTCTAATTTTATATAGGTGGGGAGCACAAGCTGTAATGTTGGTCTATTTTCACAACTCAGCTCTATTACAGCCTGCTTTACAGGAGCCAAAATGGCTGTGAGGTTGCTCAACAAACTTTTATTGCAATTTTGGAGGTGCTTGAGTTCCTTCCTTCCGCTGATTAATTCTCGTAACTGTTCATACTTCTCATGTACAAGGAGGAGAGAATCTGCAACAGAATTCCAGCAACAGGGAACCTGTTGTGCTTCAAGAAGGCTGGATAACTCTGGACTGATGGTATCTTGTTCAAGTGAGCTCATTAACTGTATGCAGTTACTCACAAGTTCAGTAACTTCTGGCATGTTTTGTGCTTGTAATGTCCTTTCATTAAGCACACTCCTTACTGTTGAGTTTAATGCACAAGCTGAACATCGCAGGCACATTCCAGCTTTCAACAGTGTAGCTGAACTGACTTTGCTATCTGTGACGTAAATGGTTCGCATCTCTGACATGACAAATTCTGAAAGTACATTTAATACCCACTGGTGAACCTGCTCACCAGTTTCTTTGCCATCTACTTCTTTAATGCCGAGCACATATCTCTTCATGTGCAATCCCTCTACCTGATGTGCTGTTAGAATGTAGTATGACTCCGAGCCAACATTTTGACAATGACAGGTGACACCTATTCCCCAGCACGCATTGCTTCCAAGCGCACATGTGACTTTTACTTTCACTTGGTTGTACATTCTGGGCAGATGTTTCAGAGCAAGTGTATTCATATCCCCGAGGATTTCAGCTACAGGAAAGGATCCATAACGTGCACCAACATCAACAAGAGTCTGAGCAAGTTTGACAAAGTCTTTTCCGTTTACCACAGTCAATGCATTCAGATCAGAACACATTACTTTGAGCAACTTTTCAGCAATGAGTTGGCGCTCTTTTTCAAGGACTGAGCTATTCACTGGAAATGAAAATAAATCATTATACAAACAACAGCAATTCGTATTGATAAACATTCTCCCAAACTTTACAAGGAAATTACCGCAGTAACACTCTCATTTGAATGTTTCACCATCTGAATTGGTGAATTCCCACTGTCAACTGATAAATACCCACTCCGAAAAGTTTAGCATGAAGACAGATGCTGTGTCAAAAAAAACTGTGTGTGCATTTTACTGTATATTTAAAGGGCTATCTCCAACAATAGCTACAAGACCTCAGATTTTTAACATCAATTTCATTCTGAGGGTGAAATAAAACTATATTGAATTGTACAGTTGTAAGACAATATTAGTACTGGTACAGGAGCAGTACCAAAGTGGATACAGATTAGGCCCAACACAGATTTTATCATTAAAAACAGTTGATGTAGTACAATTTATGGTAAATTCTCCAAAACTTCCTTCAGATCAGATTGGTTTTGTTCTTCGTATTTCACAGCTGTTCTAGATGTCTTTTCAACTCTGAGCTTCCTGATATCTACACAAGGCTCACATACTTACACGTCATAGAGATTCTGTTTAGTTATTTATCTTAGTGATTTCATCAGGTTAACAAAATTGTTACAATATTTACTTGGCTATAACATGTTCAATGATTTTTTTTTTAATTTATTCAATTTGTGGGTTGTGGGTGTTGCTGGCTTGCCAGCATTTATTGCCTGTTCCTACTTGCCCTTGAAACGGTGGCGGTGAGCTGCCTTCTTGAAACACTGCAGTTCACCTGCTGTGGGTTGACCAACAATGCCATTAGGGAGAGAATTCCAGGATTCTGACCCAGCAACAGTGCAGGAATGACGACATATTTCCAAGTCAAAATGGTGAGTGGTTTCGAGGGGAACTTGAAGGTGGTAGTCTTCCCATATATCTGCTGCCCTTGAAATTCTAGATGGAAGTGGTCGTGGGTTTGGAAGGAGCAGTCTGAGGATTTTTGATGAATTTCTGCAGTGCATCTTGTAGATAGTACACACTGCTTC